TCTTGAGCTTGGTTGCGACATTGCTTTCATGTTTCGCTATAGATTTTGAAATATCTGGTGATTTTGCTTTTGCATTATTGCATTTGTTTTGATAGTCTGCTCTCATAGTTTTTTTTCGACTTCTTATTTCTTTCAATTTCTGTCTTGACTTGAAGTAATCGCCAATTCTTACAGATTCAGTATAGTAATTCTTTTTTCATACTTTACACTGGTAAATTATTATAGTTTTTCTAATCTTGTAATATTTCATATTTGAACTTAACTTTCATTTTACAATGATATGGTTATTCTCAGTGTAGACTTTGAAGTGCGCGAAGATTTAAAACTTATTTTGTTCTTTAAAATTGTAATGTAATGAAAATGCTTTTTTTGTTAAATAAAATCTGTTAAATTTTTGTGTTCTGTTTGTTCTTCTATCCTCTAGCCATGCCATGGTCGACACACAGCTACACGCCTGTAGATGTCTTCATGCCATCGACTGAGCTACCGGAAGCTAATTGTAACCCCCTTTCTGTGATTGTGCAGAAAAGTTGGAATCTTCATTGCATTCCATCTTTTCTGGACTTTTTGCTGAAAGGAAGTGTTACACTATCAACGAAAGGGCGGTCATGAAGGGGTCGTGAGTCTCAGACTTACGACGTAATTCAAGCAAATTGTTGATGCTATTTCCGAAAATCTTTGTGGCATAACGCGAATAATATGTTGCTAATGCTAGCAGAATGGATGCTGCCAATTCGCAATCATAGGCGTACAAAACCGATCGACGTCATTACCATACATAAACAAAAAAAATTCATTTGGCTCGGGCTGTTATCGTTTGGTACATTGGATCATATCCGATTTAAATAAATGCTGTGTCCTGGGTATGAATTGCAGATGGCAATATTCCCACTTGGATTACGTGAAAAGCAGTGAAATGGTATCTGAGTCAGAAGCGTATGTTGTGGGACAGAACAAATAAGGCGTCTTGCTTCATATACCGCACTCATCAGAATAATGCGATGTTCTTTTGGAAAATAGTCATTGAACATACAGGAAAGCTAATTAATCACAATCTTATCGCTATTCTAGTACGTATCTGTTTATTTGATTGAACGCCAGGTCCTTTGCTTTTGAATAAATATGAGCAAGTAGACTAAGCCCGCGGCACCGCTCGTGTAGAGGCAGTGTGAAGTTTAGATAATTCGGTACGCGTTAGTGTGTACGAGTATGAGACCGTGAGAGTCCATCTGTGTCTAGTCAAACTTACACAAATATACAGGGTTATGCATTTGAAATTTTTGAGAAAAACTACAATTTGCGTTTTTGGCCACCCTGTATGAGCAGAAATTAAAATTCGAAAAAGTAACAAATAAGATAAAAGCTGAGGTGTGTAAGTTTTTTTTGATACAAAATTCAGCATTCCAAATTTCAAAATCGCGGACTGAGGGCGGTTTTTCTAGACAAAACACCTTGTACCTCAGTAGCTAATTACCAAAACCTCATAGTAGGTTATATCAATTTTCTTCTTTTGAATTGGTTTATCCAAATATGTAATAAAATTTGAGGAATTCAATTTGAAAAATCACAACTTTGATATGTAGGTCGAAATTGGGACACCCTGTATATTGACCAATATTTTAGAAATGCATTTGTTTATGAGTAATATTCCGTCCACACATGGATGGGCCACCCTGTATATATATATATATATATATATATATATATATAGGGTGACTTTGAAGTTGAGTCATTAATTTTCAGATAATGATTGTAGAAGGAAGATAAACCAAAATATGTGTGTAAAAATAAAAAAAAATAAAAAAAAAATGTTACCTTGTTTTATAAAGTATCCTCCCGACAAGTATTTCAGTGCGGACCTGTGCGCCCAAAAGCATGTCACAAAAACTGTTCGAAATGATTTCCGTTTTGCTCGACGCACAGCTGGGCGCGTCTTAGCCATGTCTCTTTACAAGCACGCAATAAAATCACTGGTTGATTTCTGATCACTGTACTCATTTCCTCAATTCGAGCACGTAATTCTTCGCGTGTATTAACCGGTGTTTTATACACTAGAGTTTTTAGCCAACCCCACAAACAAAAGTCTAAAGGATTTAAGTCCGGAGACCTTGGCGGCCAAGGTACAAAACCGCCACGGCCGATCCAACGATTATTAAATTGTCTATTTAAAAATTCACGCACATTTCTTGCATAATGGGGTGGTGCCCCATCTTGTAAAAACCACATGTTTTGTCTAATATTTAAAGGCACATCTTCCAGTAAACCAGGCAAATTGTGTTGCAAGAAATCAAAATAATTTTCACCAGTTAAGCGATTTGGTAATTCAAAAGGCCCCACTAAAATTCCATTAACAATTCCCGCCCACAGGTTGATTGGTTCAAATCGCTGTTGAAAATTGGTTTCCCTTATTTCATGGGGATTTTCAATAGCCCAAACGTGAGAATTACGTGAATTAATAATTCCGTTTCTAGTAAAGAGGGCTTCATCACTCACTAAAATTTGATTTAAAAAATTGTCATCATTTTGATGTTTATTTAAAAGCCAATTGCAAAAGTCAACCCTTTGTTCATGATCTTCCGGTTGTAAGGCCTGCACTTTTTGTATGTGAAACGGATAGAACTGATTTTCACGTAGAGTTTTCCAAGTTTTATACTGACTAATCGCCAATTGAGTTGAAATTTGTCGGGTGCTTACTGTTGGATCATCACTTACTAATTCTAAAATTTGTTCTTCTAGTTCTATTTGATCGTGTGGTCTTGGAGCACCGGCATGATCTCCTCTGTGAGGTCTTAAGTCACCTGATTCACGAGCCCTTTGTACTACATTAACAAAGGCACGAGGGGTTGCTTGCACTCGATTGGGAAACCGATCCGCATAAATCCGTGATGCCACGGCAGAATTTTGTAAAGACTCCCCCCCGTAAATAAGAACCATGTCCACAAGTTCAGCATTTTCGTAAACATGTGCCATTTTTGATTTGAGCCTCGCAACAGACACGATTATTCACGTACGCGTTACCGACTACCGACTGATACTGACTGTATACAACTGAAGAAAATAATTGTAAAAAGATCGTTCCAAATTCTTTCGCTTTTTTGTTTCCGATGCGATGAACGGATAAGGCGGATTATATCTGTTGTTGCCAAACACGAGAACATAATATCATTATTGAGACAGGGCGGTACTCAAACTTCCAAAGGGCTATAACTTTGTTACTTTAATTTTACCAGAAAAATGGTAAAGGAAAAAAACATTTCTTTTGATCAGATCTACTCACTGTTAAAATAAATGACTCAACTTCGAAGTCACCCTGTATATATTGATACCGAAAAATTGAAACATGTACTTCGAAAAAATCGATTATTTTCATCTTATCCGTAAGCTATTTGCGCAGTTCCGCGTTAATTTAACCGAGTTGTAACGGTCATGTAATGGTGAGGGTCGATTTTAAAAGGAACTATTATATCATATCCATAAACTATTCACAGTGCTAATTGCCATCATGCTCATTATACGAATGGCAATTCGGGAAAAAAATTTCAGGTATCCGAATGAAAGTATTCCTTTCACGTCCTACAAGTAGATTTTATGATCTATTCTAGCAGCTGCTACGTGAAAGCGTCCAAATTTAATGTGTTTCCCAATGCTTAGGAACTTCCAGGGCTGCCACTGTATCAAGCGGCTATAAATGCATTTCCAATGACACAGCGTGTTTATCTTTCACTTAAAGCCGTCAAATACTATAAATTTAAACAGGAACGTGAGTCCATCCCGCTAAATATAAACATTTGTGTCCCGTTTTTAGCCTGGCGTTTGCGGAATTGCCAAAAAAATCCACCTGCTCGTTATACTTTATGTTCTCCTAGGACCAAGCTTCGCCGCTCTCATTTTATACGAAACTCCAAATTTAAACCGAGAGTGACATTGACCTGTGGATTTTGTGTTATATAAATATATAAATGTTGGTCAATATTAGAATTGTCGCAGATGATGAAATATTTCGAAACTCACAACTAAAGCTATAGGAGAAGGAGTTTAGTGTGAATAGGCTGAGTGTTCACGCTGTACCTTAAACCTACTTTAAAACTACTGAACCTAAAGGTTGTTTAAGATTCCACGAGCTCTTAAACAATATGTGATCAAGTGCAGCGAATATGCGGATACCATCAGATACCGCAGCTACCTATACATACAGCATATTAGTAGTAGTAGTAGTGCGCCTGGTATCAAGGCCGCCCTTGACGCTTTTTGCCGACCCCCTGGTACCTACTTGCTAATCTACTAGTAAATCATTATTGAATCAAGTAGTTCTAGATATTCAATACATATTTTATCTCGCATCGGTTTGATGCCGTGATTAGAACCCGCGAGCCTTGGAGCCAATGTCCTGGCAACCGAGACCAAAACGCACCTGGCCCTTCATACAGGATGTTAAGTAACTGACCAAACTCCAGACACTCACTCCTAGTAGTAGTGAAGCCCAAGCGGGGATTTCGGAATTTACTAAAGCACGGCAGATGAATATACAGGAGCATACCTTGTACCCATTTAAGTACTTCCACCTAATATGAGCCCCTTATATATGGTCGCCCGTTAAGGATAAAGGATCAGATTAGTAAAAAAAAATTGATCATCTGAAATTTCCGCGTCAGATTAAGGTAAGGTGAGTTAGTTACATGCTAAAACAGGTATATTCGACTAATCTGACAATATGACAGTGACGCAGAGAAGGGGGAGGACTACAATGTTGTAAAAAAACATTCTCGAGCGTGGCTAATTTTTTTTTATTTTGACGGGAATAATTCAAGGGTCACGAAAAATATATAATCTGATGATTTTCACAAGCCGAAGTAATAAAAATTAATCCATAAAGTTTAATGCGTGCAGCTACAGGATGCCTATATTCCCCTCTCCGCGTTTCTCTTTCTCTCTCACTCTTTCTTTATCTATTACTCTCTCACTCCGTCCCCACTCTGGTTGCTGTTGCCATGACGCCATGACAGCTGATCACACAACTCGTGGCATGATGTTGTTTACAACGTATTTCCAACGTTTTTGCTTATTTTGTGATTTTATTATTAGTTTTGTGAATTGAAGTTTATAAATATTTATTAGGTGATAGTAATATGAAGTGTGTACTTTGTGGTGAAAGTACTTTGCAAAAAACAATTAAATTTACATTAGATAAATTACAAAAATGTTTAAATGTTTTAGAATATCGCCGGAGCAAACCGGTTGTCGGAAAATCTCGAACAACATACGATAATCTGGAACTTTCGATAGAATCTTCATTGAATGAAGTGTATTACTCACAGTGCTATAAATTATTTACAGCAATGAAAATACCGCGAGACTTTCAGTATTTGCAACCACAGCAAAGTGTAATGGATCATGACAATGCATCAGAAGTTTCTGGGAATATCTCCGAATCACATCCTTCTGTTTCTGGAGAGTGCTCCAAATCACATGCTACTGTTGATTCCGCGTCTACTGAGGCTGTTGGTACATCGACAGACGAGTAAGTGCTAATAAGATTTCATCTAGTAAATATTTAAAAACTTTTTTTTATTGAATTAATTTTTTAGTTAAATTTTTGTACAAAAAAAAAACAACAATAGTTATTTCTTGCATCAACAAAACTATTAATACAGTTATAAGATATGAATGAATCTATTTCTTACCAAACTTTTAATTTCATGGTATAATCATTAGCTTTTTTATATTATTTTTAAAAAATTTGCAGAGCGGGAGAATACAGCAACATTCAAGAAGACCTTGAGGATTTCAATGATTCATTCAACACAGATGAGCCTGTCGCTCATAACGATTCAGCATCGCAAATGTGCTTCATGTGTGAAAAACAACGTAAACGGTATCATGGTCGTGAAGTTCGCTTAGCTGTTAATAGAAAACTATAGAGAATTTGAAAAACGCGGCCACGGAACAAAATGATATATCGATGTTAGAAAAGCTTAGTTCTTTCTCCGATGATTCCAAAATTTTTTACCATAAATGTTGCAAGGATCAATACTTACGAGATATGTATAAAGATGAAAACAGCGAATATCTAAAGAAAAAAAAAAGGTTTACAATACTGCGTATACCACTCGTTGTGATATGCTAGAAGAAAGAGTGGTCAAGAATAATGAATGGTTGTTTTTTGACTACATAAAAAGAGAATATCAAAAAGTTTCTTGCTCCATTTTCCGCCACTCTTTTGACCTACAAGGACTTATTTAAAATCATGGCAGTAAAAGAAAAAATTCGTTCAGTTGCAACACAACGTCGCGAAGAAATCCTTAACTCAACTAGAAGAGAACTGCCCGAAAATTGTACGGCTAAAGATTTGATAATGGGAGAATGCCATAGGGTGCCAGAACTTCTTACTTGTTTTTTGGAATCATTCATTTGGGGCGATGTTTCTCATTTATCCAAAGTAGCACGTGACAATAGAAAGAACAAGAATGAACTTTCTATTTTTTCCATTGGACAAGATCTAATTTACGCAGTTTCTGACCACAAACTTAAAACATCGAAGCACATTGCCCTAGGTTTGGCAGTGAAGAGCTTATGTAACAGTAAAAAAGTTGTTAACATACTGTCAAAATATGGACACCGTTGCTCTTACACAACTCTAGAAGAGCTAGAGACTGAGCTGACATTTTCAACAGTAAATAGTGCTCACGTATGTCCTGAAGATATTCAACGTCGCCTGGACTTGAATACTGGTGTCGCATTCGATAATTTTGGCCGCTTCGTAGAAACGCTAACCAGCAAAGACACTCTGCATGATACTGTGGGGATAATTTTTCAAGATATTGTGCAAAATCTGGATCCGGTGTCTGCGCCATCTTCTAACCCTAGTGTACATGAACATTCAACAGTCGATGAGATTGTGCGTGGTAGTCTTTCGGAATTATCCGTTACCACCATGAAAACAAAAAACCGAAAACGAAGAGCTTTCGAAGAAGTTACGTTTGAAATGCATCCATTCACCAAGAAATTAAAAATTACCACCTGGAGTCAGCTAGAAATCTCAGGGCTTAATAAAGTTCCAGACAATTTGAGTATGTCGAAAAAGCTGGACGTTACGTGGCTGTTATTACATAAGTATAAAATATCGGATGTTCCAATGTGGGTTGGATTACACAGCAAGATTTTAATAGACGATTCACGAGTTCAAAAAGTGTCATATCTTACTCCCATAAATGAATCTCCTACCAACAATTCAACTGTCTTGAAAACTCTTGAATTGAGTCAGAATTTTGCAAATGAATGTCAAGCTCCTTATATCCAGATCACCTATGATCTAGCTGTTGCTCGCACTAGTTATTGTATTCAAGCTCAAGAATCTCCAAAATTTGACAATATTTTTATTCATTTAGGGGCCTTTCATATTGAAATAGCTTCCTTTGTAACGGTTTCACCGTCCGATTGTATTTATTAAATCACTTCTCGATTTTCATTTCAGAATCGCAACTCATTAATCCCATCTCTACATCCACGTGTTGAGTTCCTGATCTGTGATCTTCCTCGCGCTTTCTTTTCACTTCAGCCGCCGATCTAACAACGACTGAGAATTTTGTTCTCTGTAGCATGAGGTCATAAGCACCATGTGCTAGCATTTTGTAAAATGTGTGTCTGAATAGGATAAAATGATTGGGGCCAACCCCTTTGTCTTTGACTTTGCCTTCCTTTGCCTTTGTCTTTGACTTTGTATTCATCCATACTTTCGCTTACCTATTGCTTGGCCTATCACTTTGCCGTGCCTTCACCCATGCATGTGCCTTGGCTGCGCCATCACTTACAGCTTCATCCTTAATGAAGATCACCTTTAAGCTCAACTTCACTGCATCCTTCGCCTACATCTAGTTTTGAAGCCACTAAATATGTGGTCACCCCTCATAACTGGGACCTCCACTTGAAGCCCTTGGCCCCTTTCTGTGATTGTGCATTCCATCTTTTCTGGACTTTTTGCGGAAAGGAAGGTTTACACCTTCAAGGCAGTTGGCACTTTTATTGAATGCTAATGGTTCCGTTTCAGGTTTTATAAGCGGAAAAAATTACAACACATGTAAACGATTACATTCTATCGTGACATTGGTATTGCAACAATTGCACTTCGAAGCATTTTTAGAAGACAAATAATTGACAGTTGGGAAATCAGTGTTAGAATATCTCACCACATTTTTGGCCCATAAAGATGTCTCTCCACAAGTTCAGCATGCAGAAACACAACGTCTCATTGAATCTTATGAGGAATATACAGAATATACATTGGACGGCAAGGACGGAAAAACAGCGCAATTCTACGCTATGTACATAGATTTTGTAAATATTTACCACTTATTCATTAAAAGTATTAGAGTTGGAGATTTAGATTTGTACTTATACAGGGTGACTTTGAAGTTGAGTCATTAATTTTCAGATAATGATTGTAGAAGGAAGATAAACCAAAATATGTGTGTAAAAATAAAAAAAAAATAAAAAAAAATTTTTACCTTGTTTTATAAAGTGTCCTCCCGACAAGTATTTCAGTGCGGACCTGTATTTGATCGTGAGGTCCCCTGTGAGGTCTGAAGTCACCTGATTCACGAGCCCGTTGTACTACTATTAACAAAGGCACGAGGGGTTGGTTGCACTCGATTGGGAAACCGATCCGCATAAACATGTGCCATTTTTTATTTCGTTTGAGCCACGCAACAGACACTATTCACACGCGACTGACACTGATTGTATGTATAACTGAACTGAATAAAGTAAACATCGTTCCAAATTCTTTCGCTTTTTTGTTTCCGATGCGATGAACCGATAAGGTGGATTATATCGGTTGTTGCCAAACACGAGCACATGATGTTATTGAGACAGGGCGGTACTCAAACTTCCAAAGGGCTATAACTTTGTTACTTTAATTTTACCAGAAAAATGGTAAAGGAAAAAAACATTTCTTTTGATCAGATCTACTCACTGTTAAAATAAATGACTCAACTTCGAAGTCACCCTGTATACCATTGCGAAAATCGTCAGCTTATTCTTCTATTACAATCAACCAAACTATAGTCGATGGCTAAGTGTACTCTATTAATTTACTGCAACACGTAGATAACACACATCCTCCGAACTGAAACGGCTAAGGGTTTGTTTTGAATCAGAAGAACCATCAAGCCTTTCTCACGAATTCCTGTGGATTTAACATTAGAGCAGACAATAAATGGTGATGCTACTCGTCGTCTTATTGGAATCGTTAACCTTGCAAAATCAATTGCTGCTAGTCAACGTTGGGCTAAAAATCATGAGGCGCGAACAGGAATCATATCTCATGTACTGACTCGTGCAGGACTTGATAGAGACTACCATGATATTGCTGCTAATCTACATCCAGATAGAATGAAAAAACAACACATCCAAATTGAAGCTTTTGCGAACAGTCTCCTGCAGACCATTAATCAATTTTCTTCTTCAATTGATAAGGATCAATTGTTTAACATTTCAACAAGGCAAGCTGCTCCTCCAGAAATTGCAAACTGTTTGCTAAAGGCAGTGTCTGGAGTAACATTTCTGCGTGATCAATTCATAATGGAATGCAATTTAAATTCAGAAAGGTTTCACCAGCCATTAAAAAAATACAGTGTTGACTTTTGCAAGCCTCAAGAAGCAAAAAGAATGAAAATTGGTGGAAAAGTCCACGAAGTTAAATTGCAGCGAGATTTATTTTGGTCGGTTATTGGCTCTATCTCTTGACACGAATATAGACCCGGAGAAAGTACTTTGTTTTCCTATAACTCCTGTGCCGCTATCACTGTGACATATAGATTGGTTCTTTAAACAAGACTGATAAATCAGTACTAGTTCATGAGTTAGAGAAACAAGTCGAAGATGTGGAGCAACCGCCATCCCAAGTTGACCTTGTAATTGTAGATGGCTTCTTTTTTTAAAATACTTTTAAAGAAATGCCACGTGGTTTTGGAGGTGTGTCAAAGAAGATATTGCAATGCCTTATTAATAACGGTGCAAGTAGAGTTGCTATTGTATTTGATCGCTACTTCACACCCTCAATCAAAGATTATAAGCGTTCTCTTCGAGGCAGTATAGACGACAAGAAATTCAACATCTCCGGTCCTCATCAAATAAGAACAGCAGATTTTACAAAAGACTTCAAAAATGTAAAGTTTAAAGAAGCTATTGTCAAGTCTTAGATCGATAATTGGGCTGATCAGGAGATGGCAGCGATTATCGGTAGTAAGGTAATTTACATAATTCATGATTTGTGTTACGAATATTCTGTTACTGATAATAAAGTAACACGCATCGTTAATTATGAGTTGTCATGCCCTGATCACGAAGAAGCAGATACGAAGATAGTATTTCTTGCTTGCCAACGAAAAGAAGATTCTACTATTACTATCAGCACTTCTGATACAGATATTGTAGTCATCATGTTGGCGAATATTGAACACCTGCAAGCAACAGTAGAAGGCTGGATGGATCTTGGAGTTGACAATGCACGCCGATACATTGACATATCCGCTCTGTACAATAAATTAGGCCCAAAAATTTCTAAGGCGCTTCCAGCTTTACATGCGTTCACTGGTTGCGATTTTAACCCAGCATTGTACCGACGAGGAAAAAAGAAACCTTTGCAATTTCTGATGAATTCAGAAATTTTCCAAAAAGCATTCCTGGATTTGGTATCAAAGGAGCATAATGTGCAGGATTCTTTTAACATCATACAGTCTTTTACTTGCCATATGTATGGGCTCAAAAAATTAAATGATGTCAATTAAGCCAGGATTGTCATCTTCAATAGGACGTACAAGGTCAAAGACAAATCACAACCCTTTTCCTTAAATATCCGGAATTACGATGCGTGCAACCTACTCCAACAAGTGTTACGCACAAGATTCATTACATGCATAATTACAAAAAAAACGTTATTCATAAGAAAAAATATCACTAAATATTTTAATGAATTTTTGTTACAGATACGCAATCTGAGGATGAAATCGAGCCAGAGGAGGAAGATGATTCTACCGATGAAGATGATTAAAAAAAATCCTCAAAAAAATATAATTATTTATAATTATTTTTTTATAAATATGTACAAGTATTCTACTTAAAAAAATATGAACTTTTTTTATTTGCATGCTATTTCCTGAGATTTTCAATTAGTTAAGTTCAATGATTAAAAAAAATTAAATAAAAATTTTCTTAATTGTCAGATTAGGTGAATCCCTTCAGGTAATCGTCAGATTACGAGAAAGCACGTCTAAGGCCTAAAGATGAACCATATATATCTTAATCTGACGCGCTTGAGTATTTCAAAATGACGATTTTTTTTGCACATTCTAATAATGACCGCGAATTTGCGTCACATCCAAATCGTCAGATTATTATATAAGAGCTTTCTTTTAGGTTCACTTAACATCCCCTTTGAAAATCTGATGCGGTCGATTAATTTTTTTTTCATTTTCAACCCTTTCGTACGACCACCCCCATCATGGAAACAATCAGGAAACAATCAGATTAACATACGACCATTTTTCAAAATACATAGGACATGGATGATATCAATATCTGACGCGCTCGAGTATGTTCATGCAACAGTTTTTTTTACATTTTTGAAAATCTATAGCCGGTCCCCCCACCGATGAAAAGGTATATATTATAGGACGTTTTTTTCGTTTTATCATCTAAGCTTCGCAACCCAATAGGTCTCTATGACGCTTGAGTAAATCGCGATTTAGCATCGTGGGCTCCCCTACTATAGGTTAATTTAGAGAAGAAAAGCTCTTACACGGTGATTAACAAATCGTGATAAAAAAGGTATCATCATACACAGGACCGCATTTGAAGGGGGACTTCTTTGTAACAACTGGAATGAACTAAAATTTGGTATGTGGACTTACCTAAGTATTCTCCAAATTTAAAAGTCTTCACTTAAAATTAACGTGCACCAGTGGCGGAGATACAGGGGATTAGTGCCATTATATTTCCAAATAAGAATAGTAAGCCACTGTTTTCTTTCGAAACGTGCAATTTTTAGAATGTTACTTTCAATTTACTACAAATAATTACTCATATGCTTTTTTCCTAGTGCCATGTTTTCGTAAAAATCGAAAAAAAGCAAAAGAGACAATTAAAGCTTTATTTCAAATATTTGTCCAAAAAGACCACCATTCTGATAGTGCGGATCTTTTTAATAAGGAAAAAAGTATTTTTGCAAAATTTGTTGTGGCTTGAATATGATGAAACGCATTATCTATTCTTTCTTGTAAATGATCAACAGTGTTAATTTGTTCGGCATACACTAGTTGTTTAAGAAAAACGAAGTCCAGGGGGGTTCAAATCAGGAGACCCCGCAAGCCAATGTACGGGTCCGTTTCTACTAAAATATGGTGGTCTAAAATGATTATTCAACCATACAGTTATGTCACGACGAACATGCGGTGGGGGCACCGTCGTGCTGATACCACATTCATACTTTCGTTGCTATCGGAACATCATCTAACACATTTTCTACGTAATTCTCTAGAAAAGCTAAGTATGAGTTTGCATTCAAACGTTGTGGCATTACGTGCATAATCAGTTGGCCATTGAAAATACTGCACCAGACATGTCTAGAGAATCCGTATTGTTGTTATAGAACTGGGATTTTCTAACGACCAAATATGTTCATTCTGAGAGTTAAAGGTTCCGCTCCTCGTAGAAAGCGATTCATCTGACCACAAAACCAAATCAATAAAATCTGCATTTTGATTATGCATTTGCAGTAACCACTCACAAAAATTTCGCCGTTACTCTTCGTCGCCGGGTTGCAGACAGTGCACATTTTGCCGACGGTAAGGATGTCAAACTTCCCGATTTAAAATTCTCCACGCATGACTTTGAGAGCATGGTAATTGGGCTGCGATCCGCCTGGTACTTGTACTAGGATCATCCAACGCCAAATTAATCACTTCCAGTTCCTCTTGAACAGTATGCTGGACACTATGGCCTCTAACTCCGGTTAGTTTGACAATTCCATATTGCCGGAGTCTTAGAAATAAACACGTAAACACCTTTGGTGTAGGTTGGCGTCTATTAGGAAATCTACGTTATTACTCCCGAGAAGCCGCTGAAGAACTTCCATTACAGGATCCGTACACAAAAATAATATCGGTGTACTCATCATTGCTGAATTCCATTTTACAACACTCAAAAATGGAAAAAAGAAACTTTTGACTTGACCTTAAAAAAAAAATGGTAGTAGTAACGTTAACAACCGTATAGCTCATAACTTTGACAAAGTATCACGTTGATATCAAGGCCTCCTATTTTATTTTGAAACTAACTGCATTTCGGCTCTTATGAAAGATCTAATTTGTTTTATCTTTATTTTCACGAAAACAGTGCACTCTAGGGAAAAAACACAAGAGTCATTATTTGTAGCAAATTGTAGGTAAAATTCGAAAAATTGCGCGTTTCGAAAAAAAAATGGCTCACTATCTTTTATAAATATCCCCTGTATCACCGCCACTGGTGCACGTTAATTTTAAGAAAAATCTTTTGAATGTGGAGAATACTTAGATAAATCCACATACTAAATTTTAGTTCAGTCCAGTTGACGTTTTTGAAGATATTGAAAAAAATTGTTTTTATTTTTATACTTTAACACCCCGTATCTTTTTAATGAAGCCCTCGAGGAAAAAATGTTACAAAGAAAATGATATTTCATTTTTGGTCACGACTTGTGAATCACCCTGTTCAATCATGGGTCCGGTGATACAAGATAAAGTATGTGAAACAGACATAATATCTCTCAAAACACAATTTCAGTTTCTAAGGCTTTGCCTACTTTGTATCTGGTGATATGCTAAGTGACATAGAGAAGAAAATAACATCTAGTAATAACGAATTTATTACAAACATTTTGTTTTGATCAGGACAAACAAACGATCAGCTTTTCAACCAAATGGATAAAGTGAATTTTGTGTGTCTGCTCTTACAAAGAAATAAGAAAGCAATAGTTGTGTTTTGAAGCTATATTTCGATCATCGTACAGTACCTTACTTTAATCTGTTTTTTATGCCTACAGTGAGAAGACCAGATGTTCAATAGCTGAGCGAGAGATAGCCACCAGGGTGCACAGAAGTCTAAATACGTTGGTGGTTTGTTGTCGGGCATGAAATCAGGAAGGCCGTACATGAACGGTTAAGAGGTTCAGGGCGTCTAAGAAGAACAGCCTCACACTAAGATCCCCGAATTATGCTTTTGGCTCTACAGGATCGCTTCTCGTCCACAAGGGTAATTACGTACCAATGCTTTGGAGATAATGGAAATTCTATTACAATGTGAATTACTTATCTTTAGTTTATCCTACCTCTCACTCCAAGGCACCGAAGTGATCGACTGGTTTCGTACAGAGATCGGTTAAGCTGAGGTCTCGAAGGAATACTTTTCTTTAGTGATGAATTCAAATTAAGTTCGGAGATGCATGATGGCCGTACAAGGGTGAGCAGGCGACGTGCTAAAAGATTCTCAATTTGTTCACTGTTGAAATTATGGTATCTATCGGAGCTATTGCTTATACAGGGTGTTTCACAACTTATCCGACAAATTTTAACCACATATGCACTGTTACGAAAGTTGATTTCTCAAAAAAAAGTAATAAAAGTCCTACAGAAATCGAGATAGTAAAATAATACAGTTTAAAAGTTCACTTACGTGCAAAAGCTGTTCAAAATTGTTTCCAATGACTGCAATGCGGCACACTAATGCAAATACACCTCCTTCCTGCTGTGCCTGAAGGTTCAAATTATTGGCAGCCACTGTGATGATTCGGTCACGCAATTCTTTAATATTATGAACTGGAGTACGGTATACCTCGTTTTTCAAGTATCCCCATTAAAAAAGAAGTCCATGCGGAGGTGCTCCTCGTGCAGAAACCACATCCGTGCTCGCACCGCCAATGGCACATCTTCAAGAAGGACCGGCAAATCGTTCCGAAGAAATTCCACATACTGTTGACCATCCATCCGATCTGGCAATATGAACGGACCAATTAGAAGTTCAACGACAATACCTGCCCACACGTTTAAAGAAAAACGATGTTGGAAGTGTGTCTGGACCACTGCGTGAGAGTTCTCAAAGGGCAAAACGTGTGTATTATGAAGATTGGTTATCCCTTTACGAGTAGACATAGCTTCATCGGTGGCCAAAATATTAGCTATAAAACTGTCATTTCGAGCATTTTCTTGCAACAATCACTCACAAAATTTACTCTTAGAGAGTAGTCTGTAGGTAGCAATGCCTGGACTCTCTGGACGAGATAAGGGTACAGTTGGGCCTCATGTAATATGCACCATGCTGTTGCATGTGACACTTCTGGGACCTGTTGAGCTAACTGCCTTGTGCTTATTCCCGGATTTTCTTCCACAATATCCAAAATTTCGTCTTTTGCATTTAAAACGCGTTGTGGGCGAACCCGACCCCCATCCACTCCACTTCTGGGGCGCAAATCTCCACTAACACGTGCACGTAAAACAATTGAACTAAATGTTTCGTGATGTGGTATGTGCCTATTCGAAAATCGGTGTGCATACAAACAAGAAGTTACTTGCGAATTTCGCCCTGCTTCTCCGTACGCTAAAACAATGTCCACTAACTCCTCATTACTGTACACATGTCCCGTTTTTATTAACAAATAACTAAAAACAGAAATCCGCAAAATACTGTCTTGTTTAACTTCACAAAAATCGACCGTTCTTCATTCAGATCACCCACGATATAGATTAAACCTTATTCACACGTTCTTATCAGTATGAAAATACAAAAAAGTCCTGGTATTTTGTTTTAGTGAGTTGTTTGGTACAACATTTGCTACAATAAATTACTATTGCGTATCCTAATATCACGACGATGAACGCAAAATACAGATATCTATTTTTCAATATATTATTGAAACTCAGGTTTCTGTATGACTTTTATTACATTTTTTTGAGAAATCTGCGTCTTTAGTAACAGTACATATGTGCTTAAAAATTGTCGGATAAGTTATGAAACACCCTGTAGAAGCTGATCACCGTTAGTGTTCATCATAGACAATATGACCGCCGTGCGTTACATCCAGGAAGTGAGGTATCCGCTTGTATTGCCTTATATACGGACGATCACCAACCCAATTTTTCATCAAGATAATGCACGACCATGTTGAAGTTGAGTCGTTAATTTTCAGATAATGATTGTAGAAGGAAGATAAACCAAAATATGTGTGTAAAAATAAAAAAAAATTAAAAAAATGTTACCTTGTTTTATAAAGTATCCTCC